ACGCCCCCGTGTGTGTCAGCGCGGAACTGCACCCACGGCAGTCAGTACAGTACTGTGCTCAGGACGCCCCCGTGTGTGTCAGTGAGGAGCTGCACCCACGGCAGTCAGCGCAGGACTGAGCTCTCAACGCCCCCGTGTGTGTCAGTGAGGAACTGCACCCACGGCAGTACTGTGCTCAGGACGCCCCCGTGTGTGTCAGCGCGGAACTGCACCCACAGCAATCAGCACAGGACTGAGCTCTCAACGCCCCCGTGTGTGTAGGTGAGGAACTGCACCCACGGCCGTCAGCAGAGAATTGCACTCATGACGTCCCCCTGTGTGTCAATGTGGAACTGCGCTCCACAGATTCGGGGTTTTGTGTGTGTGTGTGTGTGTGTGTGTTTTATACTAGTTTACTTACAAAGTTCATATACCTTGTTTTTCACACAGAATCTTTCAATTTCTTAATCCATTCCTCCCTCCACCTATCAAATTGTGTGACCCTATGACTACCCCGCACTCCCGCATCCTCAAACCCATTCTACAATTATGGCCTTATACATTATTTGTTCTTATGAACAAACAGTGCACTCAGCATAGTGCTCTCCAGTCCCTCCCAAGTTATACTATTCCATTATGTGAATATACCATTTCTCAATCCATTTGATTTTGGTTAGATATTTAGGCTGTTACCATGTTTTTGCGATGGTGAATAATGTTGCTATGAACAATGCAAATTTCCATTTGTGCCTCATTTCCGAGGCACCACTGCAAAGACTGAAAACTGAACTGCCTTTCAGTCCGTGGCTGGGCACTCAACCATCTGCACCAGGAAGAGTGCTGAAAGGATAAATCTGATGGAAAATAAACGAGCCCTGAAGAGCATCAATGAGTCTGATGTTTTTTAAACATGCCAACACTCATGTTCTAAAAGAAAAACACACGTCTACTGGTTTGGTGACATGATGAAAGCAGATGACTAATCTCAGGTGCACTACACTTAGGGCTAAGAACTATTTTTAATGCAGCTCTCTGGATCATTATCAAAAGGTGAGGTGGGTCTCTGGACACCCTGTATTCCTCCTGGATGGCCTGATTCCAGAGACTTCACCCCTGGCTCCCCAGAGGTCCCAGCACTCCAAGGCCGTTCCATTCCAGAGGCCCCTCCCTGACCCCGCCCAGCTCCCCGAGTCCCCGCCCTGACCCCGCCCAGCTCTCTTGAGGCCCCACCCTCTTCCCTGAGTCCCCGCCCTGATCATATCCCTGGTTTCCAACTAGCCTGCCTGCACCACCCAGCCATGAAGTGGACCAAGAGGGATCTTAAAACAAGGAGATGGGAACTCTAGAATTTTTTCTGAAAGTCTATCAGTAGGAGGACCTTCTACCCTGTGGGTCCTTTTCTTGAGTCTCCAGGTCACAGAGAAATGCTCTGCCCCAAACCACCAACTGCCCAGGTAGAGGTCATCTGTCCCCACTTGCAGACATCTGGGCTGCCCTCTCACAGCACCCTTGTCTGGATGCTCACTTCTTCCCATGGGTGCCCCTCCTCTCTTCACAGAACCCCACACTTCCCTCAAGTGTTCTGGGTCTGAGGTTTTCTGTGTGCCCCCAAACATCAGACAGAGGTCCAACATCTGTCCAACCCAGCCGCAGCCCTGTGCCTCTCATGCATCCTTGCTTCCAACGGGTGACTGTCCTGTCCAGACATGCCTCTCCCCTTCGTCTAATCTCCTCAATCACACAGTAAACATTCCAGTCTCATTTTGTAAGATGCGCCTGATTTAAGAACAGGTGGTTCCAGCTTATAACCACTACAGAGATGCTTGGATAAGAGCTTCAAGAACCTTCCACCCCCCCAACCCCAGAACAGTAGGAGGGGGGAAAGTCGGCATCCATTGTGAGATCATTTAAAAGTTGAAGTCTTGTCCCACAGAATGTCAAGCTCAGATTCAACACTAAAGCTCATTTCTCTTGTGCCCATCAACACAAACTAGGAACTGTGTGCAGAACTTTGTGGAAGTTCCTACCAGGGCCCCACACACCCTTATCAAGCACACTCACCATCCTGGAAGACCCGTTCCACATTCAGCCCGTACGTGGCACAAGTCTCGTAATAAGTGCACCGCTTCAGGTCGTTGGAAAGCTTCCTCGCCCTGCTGTCATCGATGACCCGTGGATTTGTGGAGCTGATGGCATCTGAAACAGGGAACCACAGAGGCCTCAATAATTTCCTGCAACTCGGGGACCCAAATCACAACCTTACCCAGTTCATGTATGAATCAGGTTTTGTTGTTCAAAGTGTGATTTGAGTGAACATTTACAGATTAGTTTTTCATTCACGTTTTGTGTTCTGACATTCATCACAATACCTACAATGTAACCGAACTTTCCCCACTCCTGTCCTGTGGTTCTCATCTCTGCTAATCCCTCTAGCCTACCTCTTCCTGTGTTCAGAGCATTGCCTTTGGACAAATGCCACTCTATTGTGGGTTGGTGTGTCCCACGTCTCACAGGTGTTATTGGCTTCTCTACTGTTTATGGGCAGTTCTGTGACAAAGGCTTTGGTCTCCTGGGTTCTGCCTATCTCTACAGAACCAGGAAGTCTCGCCTTTTCTATGCTTTTGAGTTTTGTGCCCCATTTTCCAACAATCTGAGGTTGTGAAAACAGTGCGCATGCCTCTTTCGATAGCTCAGCTGGTAGACTGAGAACTTGCTCCACCTTCTGAACAACGGCCAGAGCAGTCATTCATTAGTGGAAACACATTTTAAATGAAAAATTCACAGAGGCAATTGGAAAAAATTAAAGGGAGACCCAGAAAGACATACATGCAAAAGAGGAAAGAAAGGAAAAACCAGCAGAGGCAGCCACTAACTGCCGCCTCCTTGCTCCTCCAAACACACCAGTGTGCACGGCACTGCAAGTCAGGGTCAATTCAATGCCAACATCCAAACCAACCACCTCCTGGCTAGCAAGTCAGAATCGATAGCTGACCCTCCACCAGGTCTCCCAAGGAAGTAACACACATGAAAAAAGACTGCCCATCTCTCTCCCGCAGAGCCACTTGTGAGTTCAAAGCACCAGCAAGGAAGACCACAAATCCACGGCCACTCAGTTGTTAAATCAAACAGCGGCTCTGCGGGATCCACATCTGAAAGTGTAGCACCAGACCTTCCAACACCCTCCTGTGAAGCAGCTGATGGATTTCAACTGCCAACACTGGTCAGCAGATCAACCTACAACGCACTGCGTACACCACCTGGCACTCCTATTAACAAAAACAATGACGTCAAATGACACACAGCCTGCCAGGGACATTAGAGACTTTAAAGTGCTAAAAATCAAGGATGTCCATTTAAAGGCTAAGGTGTACCTCGTCCAAGTCATGGTATTTTCAATACAGAGTCAACCAGATTACATCTAACAACAAAAGACTTTTCTTTTTTCTTATTGTGGAGGGTAGACAGGATGGGAAGAGCGGGAAAGTAGTAGATGGAGAGATAGAGCGAAGGGATGGATAGATAAGAATAGTGAGGATTTCATAAGACATAATAAATGGCAACGATCAACTGTAGTTAATGTCATAAAACAAAAACAACAATATAACAAAAAGGACTTTTTCTTGGAAAGGCTTTACTGCCTGACTACTACTAAAGGGCACTTTACACCCAAAGAAGCTCCCGCATCACTAGTTTTATGCTAAATCTACCCGTCCCTGCAACGATGTCAATCAGGAGACTAAGGTGTGCAGGATCCAGGCCATAGTCTTCACAATTGCTTGCTATGTGTCAGAGGGCTGGATAATGACTAGGGATGACATAAGGAGAACTGATGCCTTTGATTGTGGTTCTGGAGAAGAGTGTTGAATATACCACGGACTGCTAGGAGAACAAACAGATTCACCCTAGAGAGGGTGAAACTGGGCTGCTCCTTGGAGGCAAGAATTTTTAAGGTTCGTCTGACAAACTTTGGACATGTTACGTACAAGGAGGGACCTTGGAAAGGGCCATGTTTGGGAGGGTGGAGGGGCAGTGCAAGAGAGGAAGATCACTGATGAGATGGATTGATTCAATCTCTGGGGTAATGGGGGTAGGTGTATTGGAGACATTGAGGTTGTCACAGGAAGAGCAGGGTTTAGGGCTATTGTACAAGGGTCGCTATAAGTCACAGATGTCTCGACAGCACAGATCAACAACAAGAACACGTAAAGGGTTTCAGTTATGAATGGCCATATGTGTAAAAGCAGGTTTAAAGAAACAGAAAGAAAAAGGTGGTGCCCATAATCTTCATGAAGAGCCAGCTCTAACATTTTACACAGAACTCAGAGAGATTGTTGTTATTCTTTTAATTTTGTCAGACTATATATCTACCTACAGAGCCCACAACTCTTAATAACTAGTATTGAAATGTTGTGTCAAAATTTAAGATAAGTGAACTTTCAGAATGGTGAAAGGAGAGCACTGGGTATTCTAATAGAGAAAATTGAGCCCTCGAACCTGTTTTCTAAAGCATCGTCTGTGTGTTAATGTGAACAGAGTCGTTTTCTTCATAGACTCTAATTGGATAATGTGACAGTTAATGTCCATTTAGGGAGCTCTGGTGGTCTAGTGGGCAAGGATCTGTGCTTCCAGCCCAAAGGCAGGTGGTTCAAATCCACAGCTGTTCTGATAGGGCAAGATGGGAAATCTCCTCCCATGCTATTTCCTGACTTTAAAAACCTGCTGGAGGGTCAGCTATGAGTCGGTTCTGACTGCGTGACACCTCACAACAATTTCTGTTTTAAGGGTTGGTCATTTGAAAAGGGAGTAATTGTTTACTCCTTGTAAATCTGCCCCCTCACCCCCACATACTACAGCCCAATCTTCCAGTTCACACTCAGCTGGGGGAACCGTAGACCTGCGGGGGCTCACTCACCCTGTGTGCCCACCAGAACCAGCGGGACCTCACTCGTGTTCCGGTAGTTGGCCATCCGGCTGTAGTAGTGGTAAACAGTCTGGAAGCTTATTTCATCCTCCAAGCTGAAGACAAATATAACCGCGTCCACCCACATGGCGAACTGGGGGGAGAGAAGGGGCGGAGCAGAGATGGGGTGAGGGGAGACAGTTAACAACAGCATCCAACTCCAACTGCAAGAGGGCTACCGGCCCCCAAACCACCCTAACTCATGGTTCCCGGGACGCGCTGTCCCATCAGCAGTGCCCTGTCCACCCTACTCCTCTCATGCCTCTGTGTCCCCTCAGAATCTGACCCCCACCACCTTCAACCCAGGCCACCTGGATGGCCCCACTCTGGCTTTCTCTTTCTCTCATTCACTGCTGTTCAGTCAGAAGTGACTTACAACCCTTCAGCAGGTTTTCAGAGGCTGTAAATCATGTCGGAGAAGAGTGCCCACCTTTCGCCCTCAGAGCCACTGGTGCATTTGAGACATTGGCCTTTGAGCTGGAGGCACAACTCTTTACCACCAAGCCACCAGAGCCCCAAACGCCAACGACTCTGAGGGCCACCTGGCCTTTCCTCTCCTGCTCAGTGCCTCCTTGTCCCTGCATCTTCTCATGAGGTGACTCGGACTCTAGTGTCCACCTCAGAAGACATGCTGGCCACTTGAACTCAAGTGAGTGATTCTCATATGGGCCCCCTGGTGGGAGAATCCTCCACTTTGCTGACCATCCACCCAGGGCTGGAGGCCTGCACCTATCAGAGGATGCTTTGCACTGTGAAGATGGTACTTCATTTAAGGAATTCTTACGGCACCACTGAGAAAATGAGAGAATGTCTCATAGGAGAAGATAAAAATGCCCCAGGAGGAAAAGACAGGCTCCTGTGAGAAGATGATACTACGTCCCGGAAGGCGGTGACACAATGCCCCATGAGGATATGACAGTGCCCCCATGAGTAAATAACAGAACTCAGTGAAGACACGATAGAGCATCCATAAGAAATGGCAGAGCACCCCAAAAGGCCGTGACAGAGGGCTCCAGGAGGCAGAGTGTTCCGTGAGGAAGTGCTGTACCACCTCGTAAGGAAATGACTGAGTATCCTGTGAAGCTATGACAGAGCTTTGAGGACATGATAGTGGATGCTATGAGGAATGATAGGGCAGCGTGTGAGGACAGGATAGAGAACCTCTGTGAGGGATTGTCAGGGCATCGTATGAGGACACGAGACAGCATCCCCTGATGAAATACTGGGGCACTCTGTGAGGACATGACAGAGCATCATGTGAGGAAAATGACAGGGCACCCCACCAGGAAACGATAGAGCGCCCCGTGAGTAAATGATAGAGCACCCCATGAGGAAATGATAGAGCACCCCACGAGGAAATGATAGAGCACCCCATGAGTAAATGACAGAGAACCATGAGTAAATGATAAGAGCGCTGTGTGAGTACATGATAGTGTTCCATGAGTAAATGACAGAGCATCGTAAGTAAATGATAAAACACCCCATGAGTAAATGATAGAGCATCGTAAGTAAATGATAAAACACCCCATGAGTAAATGATAGAGCAGCATGATTAAAAGATAGAGCACCCTGTGAGTAAATGACAGAGCATCGTAAGTAAATGATATAACACCCCATGAGTAAATGATAAAACACCCCATGAGTAAATGATAGAGCATCGTAAGTAAATGATATAACACCCCATGAGTAAATGATAGAGCACCCTGTGAGTAAATGATAGAGCATCGTAAGTAAATGATAAAACACCCCATGAGTAAATGATAGAGCAGCAGGAATAAATGAGAGCGCCCCATGAGTAAATGAGCACCTCGTATGGAAATTACTTGTTCTTAGCTCATTACACATTCCTTAAATAAACTAAACCTACAACTAACCCGACTTCTGCCATTTTAGTCTTGTCCCTTTTCTTCTACAACTAACCTTTCTGCTGGCAAATAACCACACTGTCGGGCACATGCCGCCTCAATGAACGCTGACAACCTGTATGAAGCGAGCTGCCAGCAAGCTGATTCGATACCACGGAGGTCCCACGTGTTACAAGGCTGCACTGCCCCGCGGCCCCAGGATTTTTCTTGTCATCCGCCAGGCCTTTCTTGGGTTCAAACTCTTAACCTATAGGTTAGCAGCCGAGCACCAACCGGTCAGGGGCCCCTGATGCTGACAAGTGTCGTGTATGGGCAGAGCGAGGGGACCAGGGAGGCCCCAGATGGTCAGCAGCTGTTTCCAGGCTCACGTGCAGTGGACACAGCTGGAGTCACAAAGGGATGTGCATGGTATCAAAGATCCATCTCTACACCCCTCATCCTCAATCAAGAGGAAACAACTAAAAGTCCTGTTGGCTTTCTCCGGAAAAAGCTAAAGCTCCTCTTCAGGCCTTTAGAGTCTAGTATCAGATCTGACACACTTGGGGACATTTCTGCAAATTCAATTCCAACAGCCACAAGTAAATAATCAGCATATTCAATTTTAGGCGAGAACTTTAAGTGTGAAGATAGAAATAAACCTGTGGTTCTGGCGTGAAGACTAAACAAGACAGATGATTTGTCAGCAGAGGAGCCTGGGGTGGGTGTAAGAAAGATGCCAAGATGCCCTTCAAGAGCCCAGCGGTCAGCTGACCCCTCCACCAGGAAGCCCACTTGTTTCTCTCCCATGAAAGCAGAGAACCGTACCTCCCTGGGGACACTGCTCGAGCTGTGGCGGTCCAGACTGGACCTCATCTCAGAGACCCGTGGGTGCCTGCTTGACCTCCATGGAGAGGAAATGCCGCCATTGCAATGTCTCAGAGGAGCTCTGGGGGCCACGTGCATGAGGAGGTGAGGAGGTGCCCACCTAACCCAAAGGCAGCGAGCGCCTCTCTGGCTGGTCTGACCCACCAGCACCTGCTTCGGAGAAGGATAGGCACTTGCCTCTCAAAGTTAAAGTCCAGCATGGGCATCTCAGAAGAATGTTCTGGAGATCTACTCCTGGGGAGCGGGGGGATCAGCCCTGACAACGTCACGTACCACACCACAGTTCTACTCTAAGGCACATGAACTGTTTTCCCCTGTCCCTCAAGGGGGTGCATTGACTGTCCGTGACCTGGAGGGGCCACTGGTGCTGGAGTCGACTGTGACTGTGTGTGCTGGAGAAAACCACCCCATGATGACCCCACATGAGGTCACTCCATGACTTTTCAGAAGCAATCACCAGGCCCGTCTTCCAAGATGTCTCAGCTGGGTTTGAACCAACAACCTTTTGGCGAGTATTTGTGCCATTGAGGTCAATATTTAATGAGTAAATTCCACTCCAACCCGAAGATGAAAACTCTGGTGCCTTAGTGTTAAGAGACTGTGCTATGAATGCAAAGGTGCACAGTTCAAATCTACATGCTGCTCTGCATGAGAAAGACAGGCTCTCTCCTCCCATGGGATTGACAGCCTCTGAAAACCTGCTGAGGGTCAGCTAGGAATTAGTCCCAACCTGACGGTAACACAGCAACAGTGAGTGAGCGAGCTCTCCCTCAACGTGTGTGTGTGTGTGTGTGTGTGTGTGTGTGTGTGTGTGACAGCAACAACAGGCTTAAGCAGGGCAGAGGCTGTGAGGGTGGCAGGGTGGACAGTTTCCCTCTGCTGCAGAGTCACTCTGAGCAGGAACCAGCCCTCGTGTTCCTAGTTCCGCACTGCACCCTGTGGCGACTACCATCTGCCTAACAGTCAGAGCAGAGCTGAGCTCCACGGAGTCTCCGGGGCGTTCTCAAAAACCTTTAAAAATGGTCATTTGTGTGGACGTTCACAGAGCAAATTGCTTATTCATCAAATTTTGTATCTCAATAACCTTAAATACAATATCCACAATGTTACTTACCATGCCAATTCCTCCTGGTGATTCTCAATTCTCCCCTCCGTAACAGAATTTTCTATATTGTGTTTTGAAGCTGGCAAAGCATATTGGATTTTCAAGCCATCATTCATACACACTTTGTTTTGTAACTTTAATGGCGATGTTCACAACATCTGATCATCCACTTACTGTATATTATCTTTACACATCTTATCAATTTACCTCCCTGGTTACCAGACAGGAACCCCTCCATCCATGTGTAAACCTGTATTTATTGTAGTTGACTTTTGAGAAGTGGATCGTCAGACGGTTCTTCTGAGCTCCTCTGCATGGCCTCGAACCACCAACCTTTCAGTGAGCAGTGGGCAAGTTACCCATCTGCCTTGTCCAAGATGCCTCACGGACTCTCAGGGGAGAAACAGGTGCCGTGTCTGCATGTGGTACTCACCTGAGCCTCTGGGGGGCCCCCTTCATCTCTAATCAGTAGCAGGTAGCTCTGTCCGTCAACAACAATCTCTTTCTTGAACCTTCCACCTGCCACATATACAAAACAGCTGGTTATGGGAGAAAAACAGGACAGGAAAAGGGCAGACACACGTGGGCTTCGCTTGTGGAAAAATACACCCTGTGGTCCCCCCGCAGCCACTCGGAGGGTTTGAGGGGAAGTCGGATCTGAATTTTAACACAACTACTGAACATGTACTCAAATACTGGCCTTGAGGAACCCAGCCTCATCTGGGGCCAGAATGCACAGCCTCCCACATCACACCAGTGAGACCGAAGCCGGCTTTACGGGGAAATTCTGGAATTCTCCCGCGCTGGGATCCTCGAGACACAGTGACAGAGAATGCAGACTGTCATGTTCTTGTTGCGTTTACAAAACCGAGATGAGGTGTGGTGCAGGGCAGGCATCACTGCCCACGTCCTCGCAGACGGGGGAGGGGCTGGGAAGCTGTATTCTCCCCAAGAGAAACCCAGTCATGGGAGAGCAGACAGGACATCATGAGGATGGTTTCCGCAGCCACGGTCACAGGTAGGGGACGTGGGACCACCACACACACGTTAGACAGACCACTGGACAAGGCCGCAGGACGGAGCGGCTGGCGGACAGCGTTAGAGAGGACAGGGTTAGCGGGGCAGGGATGAGGGCCTGGGGCTGGGGGCCGAGGGGCTGCCCTGACACCTGACCAGCCTCCCCACTCCCTGAGGGTCAACACGGCCCCTCGCACATCTCGTCCCCCTACAATGTCCACGTGGACCCTAAACATTCCCAGGGAGTCCATGCGGTCCCTCATACACCCCGCCTCCTGCAAGTGAACACAGCCCCCCAAGGGCCCTCACACCCCCCTCCCTGTGAGTCTACACAGCTCCCCACATATCCCACCTCCTACGAGTCCACACAGCCCCTCACACACCCCACCTCCTACGAGTCCACACGGCCCCTCACACAGCCCACCCCCTATGAATCCACATGGCTCCCCACATATCCCACCTCCTATGAGTCCACGCAGTCCCTCACACCCCCACCCCCATGAGTTCACACAGTCCCTCACACACCCCACCCCTATGAGTTCACACAGTCCCTAGCTTCACCCCCAGGGATTCCGTGTCACATCACACCCCATCCTCCCTACGCCCTCGCACAGCCCACTGGCCAGCTCTGGTCACTGGAAAGTGTTCTCACTTCTGGGAGAATCTGTCACCTCCTAGCAAACCACCTGCAAAGACACCTGGCCCTCAAATCCCCTCCAGCTGACCCTCCTGGGACCCTGTATCCTTGTGTTGGAAACAGACCATGTCACTTCCTGTCCCTCATGCTGGCTGTCTCTGTGCTGAAGTCTCACAGGGCCCACCCAACCCCCAAGGGAATCCGGAGAGGCCTGAGTGTAAGAACCAGTGCCCATGCCCACAGGTCCTGACATGCTGACCCAGAAGGCACCCCCTCCTCCAGCACAGCCAACTCGGGGGCTCCACACAGCCTGCAGCCTGGGTCACCTCAGGGTTTCCAGGCCACAGCTCTGGCCTAGCCTCAGCTTGGAGAGCACATACTCCCGGCCCAGCCCTCAGGCCCATCCGGGTGCACACTGCTAGGAGCTGAGGGGGGCCTGGCCGAGAAATGAACCCGCACAAGGCTGCTCTTTGAGGTGTATGTAGATACACCTACGTTCACACAACCACCTGGCTGCCTCCAGGCAGCAAGCAAACGCCACGCAGACATGCACGCACACACACACACACACACACACTCCCGTTCACTGGCTCACTCACACTCAAATCTACTCACATTCCTGGGTTGTTCACACTCATTTGCACACACACCTGCATGCCCACTGACACCAATAATACCCCCTACATCTGCTCAGAGTCGATGCACGCACACCATGCACACTGCCCACACATACGTACAAACACGTCCATCCACTCATGCACATTAACACACACTACACACACACATCCGGACACACTCATTCGCGCCCACATTTCATTCTGTGGCACTGAGTTCACCAGGGGACGTCAATGTGCTATTCCTGATGCTTAAAACAATCAATACAGTCCCTCTCCCCATAACGCACCCCAACACAAAGTACACCACTGCATGGTCGCATCAGCCGCCCTCCCCAGTGAAACCACCGAGGGCAGAGTCTGAGGACGAGTGAGGAGGCCCATGATGGGAGACGGGAATCGAAGAAGGTGGACCCTGGACCAGACCGGGCTCACGCTACTCTGTACCAGCTGGCCTCCTCCGGAGGGGGTTTGGGGGTACTTCACAAGGAGGAGGGGAAGGCCCTGTCCTGCAGGGCTGCAGAGAGAACTAGGGTGGCCCCTCTAGGGTGACAGCACTGTCCCAGCTGACCTAGACTCTGACACTGCTGCACACCAGGCATGCAACCTCCTGAGGACACCCACTGGCCACCAGCATGCCCACCCACTGCCGGGACGCCCACCTGTCAGGACACCCACCGGCCACCAGGATGCCCACCGGCCACCAGGATGTCCACCTGTCAGGACATCCACCCACCATCAGGACATCCCCTCCGTGAGGACACCCACCCGTGAGGACACCCTCCCACCACCAGAACACCCACCCATCAGGACACCCACTTGCTGTCAGGACACTTACCCATGAGGACACTCTCCCTCAAGGACATCTACCCTGCCCACCTTCAAGGACATCCACCAGTCTAACCACAAGGACATATGTCCACTCATCTGGGAGGACACTCTTCGGCCCACCCTCAAGGATGCCACCTAGGAGGATAATCTACCACGTCTATCTCCGAGGACACCAACCCTCACCCATCTGGAGGACACTCACCTTCAAAGACAACCCCCAATCTCTTCCGATTCTGACACCCATGTTTCTTTATAGAGTTTAACTTCTTGAGTGTTTTGTTACAGTCTTAATGCACATCTTCCCTGATTTTAATCCATTGTGCATTTCCTTGCTCTGTTTGGATGACAGCTTCTTAATCTAGGTATAGGTTTCATATTGCTATTATTATTGTTGACTGCCATCAAGTCACACTCGACTCAAAGCGTCTCTGTGAACAAAAGACCTAAGGCCTTTCTATAACTATTGTTTCTCCAAGTTCATAGAGTTTCCAGAGGCATGTGGTTTAGGAATTGGATGCCACTTCTGCTTCCAACCTGTCTTAAAACTGGGAGCTCCACCAAACACAATCCACCATGGGCCGCCACTATGGCATTTGAGACCCCAATGGTACAAGGTTCTGCATCAGAACAAACCCAGATTACCTCAGCACAGCAAACTGACAGAAGAGTGCTGTAAGATTTAGAAGAATGTTCCTCCAAAATATGGTAGCAAAAGATTAAAAAATCATCCTTTGGACCCAACTTATTAAATATGAGGACACTCTCGGAGGTTTTGTTGATGCTAAACAAGAGGTTTTAGTAATAATTAAAAAAGAGAGAGAAAAAAAAAAAGCAATGACCCTCAACCAAAACAAGACAGCCCATCTTACAGAATCCAGTCGCTTCACCCAGTTTCCAAAATGAAGACAAGGGCTTGGCATTGAATGCCAGTGTCCTCCTGGAGGTCTTGCTGACTCTAAACGAGGCTTAAACAATGAAACAATCCACACAGATCCTCAACCAAAACAAGAGTGCCATCATACAGAGCTAATGGAAGTCCAAATGGAAGACAAGGGCTCGGCAATATATCTTGTTGTTGTTGTTGTTGTTAAGTGCCATCTAGTACTGATGCCATAAACAAAGATGTTAACCTTATTCTGTAACTACTGTCCTTTCTCTGAGTTCATACAGTTTCCACAGGCATGTTTAGGAAGTGCATGCCACCCCTGCTTCCAAGGCTGTCTTAATCTGGTACTAATCAGATACTGTCAACCATCTTTAATCATTATGGCACTTGACAGACCAGTGGTACAACGTCCAGTATTACAGCAATCCAAAGTTACCTCAATACAGAGGAAAGACGGAAAAGTGCTGTAACACGTAGGACTGTTCATTTAAAAAACAATGACAAGCAAATGAATTTCAACAGGGCAAAGGCCCACGCTTCAGGCTCTCATTATACGGAACACAGCTGTCCTGAGTGGACCCTGGTGGGAAGACTGGTGGAATAAGGTTTCTTCAGATTCACGCAGTTATACTGGTGCCCATCAGGTGGCAGCATAGACTAGAGCCAGGAAAGCTGCTTCCCCAAAATATCTGAGAGTCTGAAAATATGGGTGTGTGCTGTCCCCAAGGGTCACACAGGGTTAGAGACGCAGAGAGCATGCCGCATCTTGGGTTAGAGATGCAGGGAGCATGCTGGATCTTGGCAAGATGGACCAGCATCAACCTGAAGGAAATCTAGGACAACTGTTACATTAGCAAAGGCAACTCCTACTCTATTTTGGAGCAACTATTCTGCTTTTCACATCCTGTTCCTGGAGATTAGTCACGCTAACCAGGAGTGAGGGCAAGGAAACAGGATTTTGTGCAGGCGTTTAAAAACCCTTTTCAAAGGGAAGATTTCCAGCGTCTCAATGTCCAAGTTTTCACTTGAACGGGCGTCCTGCGTGAGGGGGGAGGCCACTGTGGATGTGTGTGAGGACGCCGGAGATTTAAAACCTGCTGAAAAGTAGAACTGGCCCAAATGTTTCAAGCCCCCAAGTGCTGGGGAAAGATCTGTGCTCTGGATTATTTAAATGGCTTCTAAAGGTCATCCACAGAGGATGGGAACTCAGCGGGGGCTTCCTGGTGGGTCACTCCTGGCAAGGGACAGGTCAGGGCCAGCACTTACACACGTTCTCTCAGGAGCAGACTCCTGTGTGAAGGAGCAAGTGCAGATGTGCAGAGAGGAGAGAGGCTCCTCAAACACTCACATCCCCGCTGCTAAGACGGTCCTGACAGGGGACAGCCCTCCGCTGAGCTTCGAGGCTGTCAATCCCAACGAGGAGACCGCCCATCTTTCTCCCCAGGAACCCATGGCATTGGAACTGCTGGACATGCGGAATATTTGGGCTAACAGCACAACCCTCCACCAGGCACCCCTGAAACCTCACGGGCCT